GCATCATCCACCCCAAGACACTATTCCGACAGAGAGTATCAGAAAGCCATTAACGATGCTGTGGGCTCGATGAAACTTAACCTCAAGTTTATGCAAGAATCATTCATAGCCAACAGCACTACCAGCATGGACATTAACCCTTCTCCTACCTGTGAGTACCTGGAGGGGGGTAGGGAGGGAGGGGGTAGGGGGAGGAGGGGGAGAGGGGAGGGAGGAAAGGTAGTGACGGTTGTTATAAGGAATAAATAAGGGAAATGGAGAAAGAAGAAGAATGAATAGGAGAGAGAGAGTTGTGTCAGAATAAACAAAGGTGATTGTTTACATAGTGATGGTAGAGGTGTGAAGTAGGTAAACAAACTCTCTCCCCCCTCTCTCTCTCTCTCTCTCTCTCTCTCTCCTCTCTCTCTCTCTCTCTCTCTCTCTCTCTCTCCACCTTCCATAACCTGACCTCCCTGTCCACTTCTGTCTCCTTTCCCACACAATTTCCTTCCCATTGTCTTAAGTCAGTGGTCATAGTTCCTCTTCCGTGTTGATGAACTTACATAAAGAGACGGTGTAATTATACCTGGCTGGTGGGGGAGGGGGGAGGAGGGACGGAAGGGAGGAGGGAGGGGGAGGGAGGGTGTTGATGTTTGTTTAGTAGGGGAGACTGGGAGGGGGTGGGGAAGTGGGGAGATAGAGGTTTGAGAAGGGAGGAGTAGAGGTGTGATGGTGAGGGAGACGAGGAGAGAGGTGGGAGGGGGAGGAGGGGGGTGGGGCGTTTATCTGGGGAGGATGAGAACGTTTAGATTGAATGGGTTAAATGAGGGAGTAAAGAGGGGGGGGGGAGAAGGTGGGGAGAGAGAGAGATCACAGTCCTAGGTAAGTAATACACCTTTACCTGTAGGGCTTGGTAGTGGGGGAGGTGTGGGTGATTGTTTGGGGTGGTTGGTGGTAGTGGGTGATGGTGGTTGAAGGAGGGGTGTGAATGGTGGTTGTTGTGGTGGTAGGACTCCCGTGTGGGGGGGGGGGCCTCAATGATCCCTGACGCCGTGTGAAAAGAAAGTCTGGTAATGATGTGTGAAAATAAATAAATTGGAACTGGGAGTAAATTGGTGTATAGAATGTGTAATGGAAGAATAAGAAGAAGAAAGAAGAAAGAAGAAGGAGAGAAGAAGAAGAAGAAGAAAAGAAGACATAAACAAAACACAATAACAATAATAAAAACAACAACAATATCACGATTTAACAAAAGAAAAAAACGGATACAAAACTAAACACACGAAGAAAAACAAACAAACAACAACCCAAACAAACAAACAAACAAACAAACAAACACACACCTGTCTCCAATAGGGTGAGATATATCCAACTTTCTGAGTGTTTGTTGACATAAACCAGTTGATGGGATTCCCGCCTCCCTCTCCCAATGATTCCCCCGCCAAGTTTGTTTACATTCGTGACGTCACAGGCTAGATACCTTCCCGCCATTGATAGACGTGTGTTGATGTTGACTCTGCTGATCGACTCTACGTAGGACTCTGCTGATCGACTTTACGGTAGGACTGTTGCTGATCGACTATGTAGGACTCTGCTGATCGACCTTACTTAGGACTCTGCTGATCGACTCTACGTAGGACTCTGCTGATGGACTTTAGGGTGGGACTGCTGCTGATCGACTATGTAGGACTCTGCTGATCGACTCTACGTGGGACTCTGCTGATCGACTTTACGTAGGACTCTGCTGATCGACTTTACGGTAGGACTCTGCTGATCGACTCTTACGTAGGACTCGCTGATCGACTCTACGTAGGACTCTGCTGGACGACTGGTGTAGGACTCCTGCTGATCGACTCTACGTGGGACTCTCAAGGATCGACTTACGTGTAATTTCTGCTGATCGGACTTACGTGGGGGACTGCTGATCGACTCTCCTTATGGAAGTGTCGACCAATTAGAGTTGACGGCGTGATGCATTTGAGCGGATGAATATATAAGATGAGTGTGTGTGTGTGTGTGTGTGTGTGTGTGTGTGTGTGTCATTCTATTTATTTGTCTCTCTCTCTCTCTCTCAAATCATCGCCCATTTTACGCCGTCAATAACACACAATTAAAAAATATGACCCGTTCAAAAGGCGATATTGAACTAGTGTTTATGTACACACACACACACACACATTGACACACACACACACACACACACACCAGCAGATATGGAAAGCACTTCATTTGTATACACTGTGAGGTGTGTGTGTGTGTGTGTGTGTGTGTGTGTGTGTGTATTAACATGGACTCTTTCCCTGTGTAATAATGCTTGAATTATTTACATATTGTTCCAGGTGAAATTTTATGTCGAAAAGTCTGTGAATGATGTGTTTTATGTATGTATGTATGTATGTATGTATGTATGTATGTATGTATGTATGGATGTAACCCTTATTTTTATTATTATTATTATTATTATTTTTATTATTGTTGTTGTTTTTCTTGTTGTTGTTGTTGTTGTTGACATAGAGGTGAGGGAGAGTAATAATTCAGGGGACAAGTGTGTTACAACGGGGTCAAAGGTCAGGGGTCATATGCTACCAACGGGGTCAAAGGTCAGGGGTCATATGCTACCAGCGGGGTGGGGGAAGGAGGGAGGGAGGGAGGTAGAGTGTGGGGGAGGGGGAGAGAGTGGGGTGGAAGGGAGGGTAGGAGGGGGAGAGTAGACGAGAGACAGGGAGGGGGGGAATGGGAGATGGGGGGAGAGGGAGAGAGAAAGAATCTTGTTTTTCTGTTGCTGTGTGTGTCTTTTCGCCTCTCTCTCTCTTTCACTCTCTCTCTTTCTCTCTCTCTCTTTCTCTTTCACTCTCTCTCTCTCTCTGTCTCTCTTTCCCCCCTCCACCCTCTCTCTCTCTCCCTCTCTCGTCTATTCCCCCCGCCCCCTCCCTCACTTTCCCCCCACTCTCTCACACTCTTTCTCTCTCACAGGGGAAAGTTAATCCTCTCACTCAGCCAAAAGAAAGTTCACAGGTTGTAGAGAGTTTTCCAAAGGGCTAATCACGTTTTCTCAGCGTCGAGCCAAAACAGACTTAAGTTCCCCCTGTAAAGAGTCGCCGTTTTCTGTTGGCCCGCGATACATATTATTGGTACGTTGGCGTGTGTTTAGCCGAGTCAAGTGATGGTCTTCAGAATATCGTTTTGGTGATTTGCTCTCTAACTCTGTGAAGAATTTTGACCTGATTCTGGTAACAATGTTGAAGGAAAGTATTTGATGTTCTTTTTTCTATTTTTGTTTAATGGTAATGTATTTTTTTTATTTATTATTAATTATGATCTGCGGCAGAAATTGGTTCATACGAATATTGACCCAATTTTTTGGTTCTTTCATTTCGGTGGTTAACTTTTATTGGGAATTGTATTTGTTATTTATTATTTCAAAGACTAAGGCAGCTTATTTTATATTATACTCCTTCGTTTCACAACTATAGATATCATGGTTAAATTAACGGGAAACACCAACACTGCGCATCTCGCTTCTCTTGTGTTCTGTCATGGCGGAACTACAACAAAGTCTTAAAAAAAAAGATTACCCTATTTCTTACGGTAACCTGATTATATGTGCTGAGTAGACAACCAACAGCCGGTGTTTTATTACGGTAGCTGATTGAAAATGTTCTCTAAATGGGTTTACGGATGATGAGGTGAACAGATAAATGAAATAGAAAGAAGAATGTGGAGGCTCGCACCAGTTCATTTTTTCCCCCCAGGAGGAACATCGATTTCTGGAAAACAGTTTGGGATGAATATATTCTCCCTGTAAATAAACTCCTAGACTAAACCGATTACAGCTTAGATTAATCCCTGCTTTATAATCCCGCTTTGTAATGAAACCAGACTCATTAAGCCTTTGAATAGTGGAGAGCTAAAACACATTCGCGTGGAAGAGATTGATGACGTCGGCGTCTATCCTGGGATAAAAATTTCCGTCCTGTGGCTCACGAGTTCCCGCGCTCCTGAACGGCAGCTTTAAAGATGGCTGACTGTTGGCGGGTGTTGACCAAAACAACCCTCCCTCTCTCTCGCTCCTGGTTTTTCTCCTCTCTCTCTCTCTCTCTCTTTTCAACATGTAATCCCTTATAATCTTCATTTTTGTTGGTGAATCAGTCCCTAACGCTCGAGAATTACGGGTTATTTCAACCATATGTCTAGGAGCATCGTACACTAACATTTGAAGTGTAAACATTGCAATAATGAATAACTATTTCATCTATCTGGCCCAGCCATCATCACAACCAACTCACATAACACCCACAAACATAACCACAGTGTTGTAACCAAACTAACCAAGAAACAGAAGCAAATATCCACCAATTTTCTCAACTTGTTGCGTTTTGGCAACTGTGGAGGAGGCAGTGTTACCAACCACACCCTCCCCACTATACACCACAACACTACACTTTACTGCCACATTTAACCCCCCAACAAACCTTCTAGTCTCTCTTACGCCCTAAATATATTCATCTTTACGTTTAAACTTCCACTTTGACGTAGTAGTGACATAATGGAAGGAAAAAACACCGTTAAATAACAAGGTAGAAGTTGTGAGGCGCGTGGCAGGTGTCTGGTAACCCTGAGAGCAGACGCTAACACACACTGGCCAGAAATATTCGTTACCAGTGGCTGACAGTCGGGGGGGCTGAGTGGGGGGGCTTGACAGTGGGGGCTGTTGATGGGGGTTGATAGTGGGGGCTGACAGTCGGGGGGCTGACAGTAGGGGTGGTAGTGGTATTACTTACAAAGGTACTGACACGAATTCTCTCTCTCTCTCTCTCTCTCTCTCTCTCCCTCCATTATCCTCTTAACTTTCACATTTTCATTCATTATCATACACAGTCAAACTCATCCCAGTAAAACAAAAGACACAGAGAAAAAAACACCGAAAAAACACCGAAAAAAAAACACCAACACGTGTACACTTTGAAAACAAATTATCGTTCGGTGTCCTAGAAATTGTTAATAGTTTTTAATTTCCCGTTGATTTACAAATGGTAGGAAAGCATTGTAGTGATAAAAATGTCCCGTTAAATTAAGTTTCCGTCAAAAAAAATGGAATAAAAACAAAAACAAATTGACTTTCCAACTAAATTATCGTTCCGGGTTGCGTAAAATTTTAATTGTTTTTGATTT